AGTCTCTCCTCCAGATCCACTCATCCCTGTCAGTACAGAGTCACCAGTCTCTCCTTTGCAGGTTTATGTTCGTCGCACTCGCTCTTATCCCCCTGCTAATGTCCCCTCTATCTCAGAAGATGCAGATAATACTTCTCAGTTTGTTGAGCATATTGATACCCCTGTTGTTAGTACTAATGAGATTGCAAGTACTGAGTCAGTTACTTTACTTTATGAGACATTGTCAGTGGAGGATGATGATTTAGGGCGTCGTTATCCACGACGTGATCGCCGTCCAGTTGTTTGTTATGGTTGGAATATCAGGATTTTACATCCGATCTCTGCTTATGTTTCTTATGGTGCTCTGTCTCCTACATTTCGAGCTTATAGCACGGCATTATCAAATACGTAGGTTCCTCGCTGTGTTTCAGAGGCTATGCGAGAGCCCCAGGGAATTCTTGCCATGCAGACAGAGATGGACGCTCTTCAGCGTAATCATACATGGAATCTTGTCTCTTTACCTTCAAGGGTGAAACCTGTTGGCTATCACTGGGTTTACACCCTGAAGTTTCTTGCAGATGATACTATTAATCGTCATAAGGCTAGACTTGCGGCAAAGGGCTTTACTCAAGTACCAGGTCGTGATTTTGATGCTACATTTGCTCCTGTGGCAAAATTGACTACTGTTCAATTGATTATTTCTCTGACTGCGGAGTACTCTTGACCTCTTCATCAATTAAATGTGAAGAATGCCTTTCTTCACGATGATCTGGACGAGATTATGTATATGGATACACCACCGGACTTTCGTGGTGAGGGGGAGTATGCTGGAAAGGTATGTCGACTGCGTAAGTCTCTTTATGGACTGAAACAGTCACCACGAGCCTGGTTTTCTTGCTTTAGTAATGTAATCGTACGTTTGGGGTTCACCAGATATCATTTTGATCATACCTGCTTCATTCAACAGAATACTTTTGAACAGTGTGTCATCCTTTTGGTATATGTTGATGATATTATTATTACTGGAGATGATGTTTCAAGGATTGCATAGGTCAAGGTAGACATTGGGAAGGCCTTCGATGTGAAGGACCTTAGATTTTTACAATACTTTCTTAGGATTAAGGTTGCCCGTAGCAACAAGGGTATTGTTCTTTCTCAGAGAAAGTATGTTTTAGATCTTCTCTCAGACACTTGGATGCTGGGGTGCAAACCAACATCNTAATACTTCTCAGTTTGTTGAGCATATTGATACCCCTGTTGTTAGTACTAATGAGATTGCAAGTACTGAGTCAGTTACTTTACTTTATGAGACATTGTCAGTGGAGGATGATGATTTAGGGCGTCGTTATCCACGACGTGATCGCCGTCCAGTTGTTCGTTATGGTTGGAATATCAGGATTTTACATCCGATCTCTGCTTATGTTTCTTATGGTACTCTGTCTCCTACATTTCGAGCTTATAGCATGGCATTATCAAATACGTAGGTTCCTCGCTGTGTTTCAGAGGCTATGCGAGAGCCCCAGGGAATTCTTGCCATGCAGACAGAGATGGACGCTCTTCAGCGTAATCATACATGGAATCTTGTCTCTTTACCTTCAAGGGTGAAACCTGTTGGCTATCACTGGGTTTACACCCTGAAGTTTCTTGCAGATGATACTATTAATCGTCATAAGGCTAGACTTGCGGCAAAGGGCTTTACTCAAGTACCAGGTCGTGATTTTGATGCTACATTTGCTCCTGTGGCAAAATTGACTACTGTTCAATTGATTATTTCTCTGGCTGCGAAGTACTCTTGACCTCTTCATCAATTAAATGTGAAGAATGTCTTTCTTCACGATGATCTGGACGAGATTATGTATATGGATACACCACCGGACTTTTGTGGTGAGAGGGAGTATGCTGGAAAGGTATGTCGACTGCGTAAGTCTCTTTATGGACTGAAACAGTCACCACGAGCCTGGTTTTCTTGCTTTAGTAATGTAATCGTACGTTTGGGGTTCACCAGATATCATTTTGATCATACCTGCTTCATTCAACAGAATACTTTTGAACAGTGTGTCATCCTTTTGGTATATGTTGATGATATTATTATTACTGGAGATGATGTTTCAAGGATTGCATAGGTCAAGGTAGACATTGGGAAGGCCTTCGATGTGAAGGACCTTAGATTTTTACAATACTTTCTTAGGATTAAGGTTGCCCGTAGCAACAAGGGTATTGTTCTTTCTCAGAGAAAGTATGTTTTAGATCTTCTCTCAGACACTTGGATGCTGGGGTGCAAACCAACATCATCACCCATGATTCCAAACCTGAAGCTTACTGCTGAAGGTGAGGAGTTGAGAGATCCGACTGTCTATCAGAGGCTAGTAGGTAGACTTATCTACCTAGCCAACACTAGGTCAGACATTTCATTTGCTGTCAATCTAGTTAGTCAGTTCATACACAGACCATGTCAACTTCATCTTGATGCAGTTTATCATTGCCTTTGGTACCTCAAGTCTTGTCTTGGACTTGGGTTGTTCTATGCATCAAGATCTTAGACTAGTTCTCTAATCNCTGTTGGCTATCACTGGGTTTACACCCTGAAGTTTCTTGCAGATGATACTATTAATCGTCATAAGGCTAGACTTGCGGCAAAGGGCTTTACTCAAGTACCAGGTCGTGATTTTGATGCTACATTTGCTCCTGTGGCAAAATTGACTACTGTTCAATTGATTATTTCTCTGGCTGCGAAGTACTCTTGACCTCTTCATCAATTAAATGTGAAGAATGTCTTTCTTCACGATGATCTGGACGAGATTATGTATATGGATACACCACCGGACTTTTGTGGTGAGAGGGAGTATGCTGGAAAGGTATGTCGACTGCGTAAGTCTCTTTATGGACTGAAACAGTCACCACGAGCCTGGTTTTCTTGCTTTAGTAATGTAATCGTACGTTTGGGGTTCACCAGATATCATTTTGATCATACCTGCTTCATTCAACAGAATACTTTTGAACAGTGTGTCATCCTTTTGGTATATGTTGATGATATTATTATTACTGGAGATGATGTTTCAAGGATTGCATAGGTCAAGGTAGACATTGGGAAGGCCTTCGATGTGAAGGACCTTAGATTTTTACAATACTTTCTTAGGATTAAGGTTGCCCGTAGCAACAAGGGTATTGTTCTTTCTCAGAGAAAGTATGTTTTAGATCTTCTCTCAGACACTTGGATGCTGGGGTGCAAACCAACATCATCACCCATGATTCCAAACCTGAAGCTTACTGCTGAAGGTGAGGAGTTGAGAGATCCGACTGTCTATCAGAGGCTAGTAGGTAGACTTATCTACCTAGCCAACACTAGGTCAGACATTTCATTTGCTGTCAATCTAGTTAGTCAGTTCATACACAGACCATGTCAACTTCATCTTGATGCAGTTTATCATTGCCTTTGGTACCTCAAGTCTTGTCTTGGACTTGGGTTGTTCTATGCATCAAGATCTTAGACTGGTTCTCTAATCTGTTATTCAGATTCAGATTATGGGGGAGCATTTGACGGTTGATCTACTACGGGCTTCTGTTCTTTTTTAGGGGCTCATCTTATCTCTTGGAACANATTCAGATTCAGATTATGGGGGAGCATGTGATGGTTGATCTACTACGGGCTTCTGTTCTTTTTTAGGGGCTCATCTTATCTCTTGGAACAACAAGAAACAGTTAGTTGTCTCTCGTTCGTCAGCAGAGGCAGAGTATCGGACACTAGCACTTGGCACATGTGAGATTATCTGATTACGATCGATTCTTGGCGAGTTATGATTTCCAGTGACTTCTTCATCTACATTATATTGTGATAATCGATCTGTTATTCAGCTTGCTTCTGACTCTATATTACACGAGAGGACGAAACATATAGAGATTAATATTTACTTTCCTCGAGAGAAAGTTAGCAGTAGTATTGTCACTCCATCGTTTGTGAGGACCAATGATCAGGTTACGGATGTTTTCACCAAACCTATCACTCTATCCATTCTCCGGGACTCCGTTGTCAAGCTTGGCTTAGTTGACATTTTTNTCACTCCATCGTTTGTGAGGACCAATGATCAGGTTACGGATGTTTTCACCAAACCTGTCACTCTATCCATTCTCCGGGACTCCGTTGTCAAGCTTGGCTTAGTTGACATTTTTACGCCTAGCTTGAAGGGGAGTGTTGGAGTTATAGCAGCCTAATTTATTAGGCCTAGTTTATTAGGGTTATTTTTCTTGTTTTACCCTTATTATGACTTTTATATTTTACCTAGACTATAACAATATTTAGGTCACTTTATAATATTATTTGGCTATATATACGGAGTTTTACTCTTAGTTTGAGTACCCGTTTCACTTACATCTATCTCAAGTCCCTACAAAAAGAATAATGCTCAGGGACTAACAAAATAGACTCAGATGTGGCATGTAATAATAAAGCTTTGGTATACAAAATGAGTACGGTATTGTAAGGAAACTCAGCTGCCACATCTCTGAGTTTAACTTTCGAGTCTACTCTATAGGTTTGTATAGCATTTCCCCCTCCCCCCCCTCTCAAAAAAAAAAACAACCAAAGATTTAAAAAAAAACAGACATTAGGTCCCAGCCATATAAACTCAGGGTTCTCAGGTTTGATATTATACAGATTACACTTTAGTCGTGGACAAACTCTGATAAAAACCTCAATTAGGTAGGGAAGTCAAATAATGGGGTACCCTCGATTTACTTTCTGATTAAGTGACACAATCTCCTCTAAACAACTTAGAGCAACACATGTGAGTAGTATAGTTCGGTCAATTCTTTAATGTAAATTATTTCAAATGATGATTGAATGCCAAGAAGAGAATAAACTACCTGTTTTTAGATAAATCCAAGTAGGGACTATAAAGTCGTACTTAGAGCTCAGCTATAGACTAGTCATTTTTATGAGTTCCAAATGTTCAACTAAAAGTGCTTGAAACCATAAAACACATCTATGGTAATTTGGTTTTTTTTCTAGGCAACCCAGATTTATTTTATATGCGTCCAACCTTGAAGGTGTTGAGAGTACAATATGAGCATACATCCTCTAGTAGCATTGAGGCAACATAAAGCAAGGGCCAACAAACTGCACCTTTAACAGGAGAATCAGACCAAGCAGATGTATCCATGGGGCTATTCCACATTGTTCCACGAGCTCCCTTCTTTTCAGACCTGCTAAAGAATTCAGCACGCTTGTGTTTCACTGTTTGCTGCCCACCACTTAGCGCCCAAAGACTCTCATTCCAGTAATATGATGCTTGCCTACATGAAATCGTAGCACATTGGTAGAGTTAATTATTGAGCACTTGACAACATCTAAAACTTTTCAAATCTGTTCCGTCAAGTGCACAGATTTGTTTTCCTGGGAAGGTACCAACTGCACAGATTATCTTAAGTATTCCACATTGAATGATGCATAGCTCAGACCCATATATAAGCCAACAAAAACTCACCTAATGATGTGGGAAGCAAAAAATGATTATTATATACCCCCAAAAATAAAATAAAAAAGTTTCAAACTCCATCAAAGGGTCAAGTCTTCATGACACTTGGCAGAGAGAAATCTTTCCTTAGCCCAACCATTTGACAATTGGCGTAACTGAATTAATTTAATACTTGGATTCATGACATCGAACAAAATTGAATAATCAACCACATGAAAATTATTAAATAATAGTAATCACTAGTTTTGCAGCAAGATGTTATGTAAAAGACAGGAGATGCTATATGGAACTTACTCTGAGCCATTCCACTTTGAGGAATTAACAAAACTACAGAAGCTCAAGCAACAACCCAATGCCGCCACTGCCAAAGGAGTATCAAGAGTACTCTGACAATGAATAAAACAACAAATTTAGACGCAATGCTATGGTCAAAACAAAAGTTAATCACTTTATAAAATTTTGCAAAAATAATTGACTATTCATATAGGTCCTGTATTGACATATACCCCTCACAGACTGAAAGTTTTCTGACCAAAACAATGGCTTCAGAACTGGTAAATGATCAGCATAAATGAATTTAGAGGACATACATTTCACACACAAAGGAAAGTACAAACACCATCAGAAAGGAAGATGGTTAGGCTAACCTGTGAGGCATGAATACTCTGATTGGAGTGTGTCCATATCCGATATGTGTTGGATACCAATACTCATCAAATACGTGAGGATATGTATCAGATTCATTCCGACCGTATCAAATAATCAAAAATATATTTTTCACAGTTGGATAAATTTATGATACAACCTGAATAGGTGTATCTCTACAATGGATACATGCTCACTGCACGTACCCATGTTGATTAAAGCTGGTATTGCTCAGTAGTCCGATAAATTGAATTCGTGCTCATTCTAGATTTAGGAGAGGATTGGAACCTGCTAAAAGTTCCTTTTATTTTTTGATAGGAAACAAATCACTTTATTAATAAATAAGATGCAAATTACATAAGAAGAAATTGGATAAGATATCCAACTAAATGCAAGCACATAAAAGCAATGAATAAAAAAAAAACCTATAGATCACATGAAGCTCTCCATCCCAATAAAATAGCAAAAAAAGCAGAATTCTATTGAACTCCTTTGAAACCGAGGCCCAAAAAGATGCTAAGAAATGAATACAGTTCCACATTCCTTCTATGCATTTACTCCGGCCTTCAACTAGCTAGAAGTTTCTTACAAACCACCCATAGAGAATTGCTTCAACAGAGAAGATGAGTGCATTCACATCCCTTGGGGAGAGTGGTGTTGGGCTGAAATTTCAAGAATACTTTACATCCTGCTTGAGCCGTTGGGGTCACTTTAACGACAATGCATCTCCGCCTTTAGGATTACAAAGCACCGGTCCCATGTGAAATTACATGTACTATCTAAGTTTAGGAAGTGTTGTCACCTAGCCCTCAGATCCCAGGTATTACTATAATATCCTAGAATTTATAGATAAGTACTATATATATATAGACGTATCGTACTTTTTAAGATATTACCATATATCATCATATCCTTATAATATTGTATTTGTGTCCATACTTCTAAGGCTAACAGATTGACTCTGGGTGTAGAGAGGATGTTTGAGTGGCCGATATTACCCACCAACATGGACTGTCCTTTGCGCTAAACGCAAGGAAAAACATACATTACCCATGATGTTGGGGACTACTTTTTGAGATTTGCGACAGCGACTTTAAAACAATATTTTCAAGGAAAATTATAGCTTACATACTTATAGTTTGACCCAGTTTCAAATTATCTCCCTATACTTGAAAAACCTACACATAAGCCCCTACGGTTTTGAACTGAACTGAAACTGTTAGAAACTCTGCTAAAACTAACAGTCGAAGGTTAAAGTTTAATAATTTTAATAAAATAACAAGTCAAAATGACTTTTATATCCTTATAAATGTTATATTTTTTATTTCTCCCTAAATAAACCAATCTCTTTAGCTTTCTTCCCTTTCTCTACATTATATAGATTTTCTAAATTGATATAATTTTTAGAAAGGAAAATATTAAAAAAATTAAAAGTAATGAAGGGTATTATTCTTTTTTTTGCACCAAGTTTTTATGTGTATTTTTTTAATGTATAGGGCAGCAAGTGTTACTAGGTCAAACCACCAAGAGGTAATTTATAATTTCCCTTATTTTTTGTTACTGGCACGGCATAATCCCAAGTATGAATGCATAACTAAAAGTCGGTTCGAGAGAAAGTTCATAATAAACTTAAAAGGACAAAAATAGAGCACCTGAAAAATAAATGTGACTGCAATAACACGCATTGCCCATTTCACAAATTGAGCTATGCCAGCATCAACACTTCCATCTTCTGAAATAACAAATTTTCGCACAAGCCAGTATCCTAGAGCAGCTCCAGCAAGGATGATTCCAATCAGCACAAATATAGACACCTATAGCAAAATAACGTATAAAGGTTAAATAAAAGAGAGAAAAATTACCCAAGTCTAGTTGAATGAAAGATTTGTCAACTAACTAGCTAGAAAAATAAGTCAGGGGAAAATTCATAGAATAATGTACTGCTATTAAGTGTCACATGCACATAANCCAAGTCTAGTTGAATGAAAGATTTGTCAACTAACTAGCTAGAAAAATAAGTCAGGAGAAAATTCATAGAATAATGTACTGCTATTAAGTGTCACATGCACATGATGGGTCTCCTCCCTCCATAATCCATTTGCGCATGCAAACGTATAGATTTCCAGAACATCCAGCACACCTCTTTGTGAATTTCTTAGGACATACCAAACAAACTGAAGCCAATTTTATGCCCTATTCAATCCTAAATCACACAATCTTTCTTCTATCTCTGACAACTATAATTCTAGACAGAATTCGAAACCAAAACCTTTGATAAAAGTGATTATAATGAGCATTCCTACTTTCTTACATTCTTGTCCAGCCTCAGACATTGCTAGCCCTAAAGAGCATGCTGAGTGATTCGAGCTTGGCTCAAATAAGCATCGCTCTAACCTCATCATAAAGCATAGTGAGGCAAGCCTTATATATATATACACTACTTTTAAACTTTTAAAATTGACTTAAGGAGAAAAAATTATAATTTCTTTATTTTCCCTTTAATAATTCCATAATTTCAAACATGTCATATGATCTTATATTTAACTCTTAGAATCTCCCATTTCTAGGAGTAAAGACTCTTGACCTTCAATTTTGTTGGCTCATTGTTATCTATTTTTAAAATTTTTAAATTCTTACATTACTCTTTTTAAAATTTAAAGAACACTATGTATCATTTAATAACTCCATTAACTACAATCTACAACACGATATCATACTAATTATTATTCACAATTAAGGAAAGCAGGTAGACATAGGTCATGACTCTTCTTTCGTTTTCCTCACCTTTGTTTATATAAGATAAGCAACCAATCAAATACTATTTGAGAAGCCTAACCTTTTTCTTCTCAAAGTGGCTTAAAGAAAAAAACTTCTAATTTTCTTATTTGCCCTTTAGTAATTCTATAATGTCAAACATGTCATATAATCTTATATTTACTTTTAGACTCTTCCATTTCTAGGAATAAAGACTCTAGCCCTTGAATTTTGTTGACCCACTGTTATTTATTTTTAAAATTTAGAAAATTTTAAATTCTTACATTACTCTTTTAAAAATTTTAAAGATCACTATGTATCATTTAATAACTCCATTAACTATTATCTACAACATGGTATCATGCTTCCCCACCTTTTCCTATTCTCCACTAAATTATTATTCACAGTCAAAGAAACTAGGTAGACTGGTCATGACTCTTCTTTCTCTTTCCGCCCTTTTGTTTATATAAGATAAGCAACCAATCAAAGGCTATTAGAGACTCCTGACCTTTTCTTCCACAATGGTGGTTAGGACGTCAGTGTTGGGACTTGGCTTGGATTTCATTAACAGTAAAAATTGGTGGGCATGGATGATAAAACTCATGTTAGTTAACGAACCTATATTTTAATTTTTTGGTTTGCTTCTATCCAGTGTAGGCAATTGTTGTTGCATTCGAATTAACTATTAACGTCCTAACACTGCTTACGATTTTTTTGTCCTCACGAATTGAAACATGATGATTTATGGAGTTTTCATGCTCTAGTAAATCTTTCTTCATCTGTTTTTGCTTCCCTATATATGATTTTGAGGGATTTTTGTTTATTAGTAGTTACAACATAGGGGAGGAGGACATTAAGGTTCGAACCCACAAACAATTATGAGGTGATGGCCATTAGGAAAACCTCAGAGTCCTCTACATGATTTGAGTTGCTTTAGCATTGTCATTCTAATCTCAAAGCATGATCATGATGGATTTGGATAGTTGTTAAGATCACTTGCACTCGGCAGTTCAAGGGATTTCAAGGCTTCTAAGTAACAACTATAGCCTATTCTGATGAGGCAGGATATGGGTTCAAGGCCATCAACTATCCATGAAATCATCCTCAACCCATATGATCACGCTTTGCGAGTAGTTTTATTGTTGTATCAATTGAGGATTTGTTCAAATACATCTTCATCTAGTCTGAAGCAAAATTCAATGTGAAAGGAATATGCAACTATTGGTAGAATAAAGTGTTCACAAATCACATATTACAATTTCGGACCCAAAGTCCCTAATAAACCCACCCCCCACCCCAAAAAAAAAAGAGAGAGAATTTTTATTTTCTTAAAATGCTCAATTTATGCTTATCATGTGCTATGATTTTTCCATAAATAAGAAACACTTGTCTGCAAGTTCTAAAGTTTAATTCTATTCTTTATAAGAAACTAATTAATCCATTTATGTAACTTAATTGGACGAATTGGACAAGCTCAACACGTTTAGTAACAAGTTTGTGGATTCATGTCACTCATTGTCTTTGATCTCTTTTCTTCGTCTTCTTAGTGTGGCTATGTTGTGGATATCGTTGATGGGCCCAATCGATATGGGTGGATTTTTTTTAGTCACTCGAATTTCTGATGTAATTGTGGATTTTTTTGATATTTTAGTAGTAAACAAGTTTATTTATGATTTTTCCTTTTGACAACATTTGAAGTTTTTATTTTTTTTTAGAAACAATAAGAAAAGTAAAAAACCTAGCATCTCATGTGTGCATAAAAAAATAAAATAAAATAAAGAAAAGGTTATATGAATGATTTATTATAGAAACACTCTTTAGACTCCTATCTTCATCTCAATACATAAATACAATTGAGAAGGTCCCAATACAATGAAAAATAGATATCCTCCATTTAGTTTATCTAATTTGGGCATTGTTTATAATTATTAGTTACAAAATTCATATAGATTGATCCTATAATTTTTTTGTCAAATTTACTATGAGTTTAGTTCACAAGGTTTTTTTGTTCTCATCTTGAAGAATGTTCGTAGTATAGAAAGAAAAATAATGTAGGAAGAGAAAAAAGAATATAGAACGGGGGATCCTTTTGAACAACCTGTTATAATAGGAAAGCCTTATATCTTAAAAGTAATTTATCCAGTTGATAAAATCCATGGACGTTCCGGTGGACATTATGCCTTAGATTGTTATTGCATATCCAGCTCTTGTTGCAGCTGCTACTACTATTTTGCTGATGGTATACCGCTAGAAATTTCTGGTACTTTCCNTATCCAGCTCTTGTTGCAGCTGCTACTACTATTTTGCTGATGGTATACCGCTAGAAATTTCTAGTACTTTCCTATTTCTATTTGAAAGAATCTTGAGTAAAAGAATTTTGTTTCCACCGAGCTAAAACAAAAACAAATATATCAACATCTCTAGTAAACTAAAAACATTGTTTAACAGCTATTCTATTTTGCTTGACCCACTGGACCAAAAGCTTCTCAAGCTCAAGCATTTACTTTTCTAGTTAGAGCCCAATGTCTTGGGATTAACGTGAGATCCGCTAAAGGACCTACTAGTTTAGGTAAATATTTAATGTGTTCCGAACAAGCAATCGAAAAGATTCTGGAGTATCCTCAGGATTAGGTGTTGTTCCTCCAATGATCGTAGTACCAAGTACTTCCTGATGAGCTCTAATATGACCAGAATTTATAAGTAAGCATCTTAGAAGAAATGGTTCGATCCTCTTATTTTTATTCTCAAATCAAGAGATCCATGAATCGAGATCCTAATGCATATAGATACAAATGGTCCAATGGGAGCAAGGATCAAAATATCGTNAGTACCAAGTACTTCCTGATGAGCTCTAATATGACCAGAATTTATAAGTAAGCATCTTAGAAGAAATGGTTCGATCCTCTTATTTTTATTCTCAAATCGAGAGATCCATGAATCGAGATCCTAATGCATATTGATACAAATGGTCCAATGGGAGCAAGGATCAAAATATCGTTTCGAAATGGTCAAAACATCCGAAACGTTTCTGATATTTCGAGATATTCCATAATGTTTCTAGATGTATTATAATATTTCAATGCATTTGCACAATTGTTTTGTAATGTTTCAAGGGATTTTAAAATACTTTGATATATTTTCATCAATATTTTTAAAAAATAATTTTTAAATTTTTTATTTTTTTCATTATATTTCCGAAACGGATCGAAACGTTTCCGAAACACGTCGAAACGTTTCCGTTTCCTAGATGATCAAAACAATACACCAAAACGATATTTTGATCCTTGAATGGGAGCAAGAATTTTTAGGAACATTTGGAACATTTCATTTCTGAGTAGAAGAGCCGTTTTCAAATCGTGTTTGATCGATCACATACTAATCAATATTCAATTGATTGGTCTGAGGCTATCAACAAAAAAGATTTGTCTAAGCCACTTTGTTTCTTTTTGTCCTGTTATGTATACATAGCTACTAAGAGTCTAAATTCAATCTAGAGTACAACATAATTTTTTATGTTATAAAACTATTTTCTTTCTATCAGAATAAAAAGAGTGTTTAGGTTTTCGAAGAAAAAAGGTTTGCCAGATAAACCATATTTATAATCAATTACAGGTCACAATATCCTCCCAACGTTTTTAAATAAAAAATTTCCATGTCATCTATACTCATGGGACACTAAATGCATCAATCCCACAAGTGAAAATATAAAACCAATTATAGATGGACAAATTTGAGAACTTAAAATTTCTACAAGAATAAATGCAGAAATAATTTAGAACAGATTTCTTGTTTAAGACTATAATCTTTTTAGTATACAAGATTTTTTTTTTTTTTTGGAGCTTTAGTATTATAGATTAGATTGGCCAAAAAAGTTTGTTTTTGTTTTTATTTGAGATTGGCCGGTCTTAAATTTTTAATACTAAAATAAGAATGTGATATTTAGTATGACTATGCACAATATATGCAAAAGTCTCCAAATGCATATCACAAAAGATTAAAAAAATAGAACAAAAACAGAGATTAAAAAGACCCACGTGCAACGGACATAGGCGCCAACTAGTTCCAACTGAATACCTCAACTAGTATAGGACCTAGCTTGAGCAACCTGCTACTCGGCTTGTAAGGATTCATGTAGAATAAAGTTGTGATCCTATTACTTCATCACGTGGATAGGATAACCCTTAAAAACCATCTCTCAACTTCACAAAGAAACAACTCAAAAGAATGAAATGTTCTATTTCCAAGAAGAAAAACGCTTCATAAAGTTTTTTTTTGAAGCTGCACAAAGTTAGCAAGTCATTCATGACCACTCAAGGATTCATTATCCTGAACAATCACTCAATAATTTTTGCCATAACAAATTAACCATCAATCATATCAGGCCAACCCAAGCTTGATCTTGTCGGAGATAAGTATAACCCAAGCTTGGAAATAGCTGTCAAGCAATCAATCTAACTTGAGCATTATCTACGTTCTAGCTGATTGAGCTTAAGCAAAAAGATACTCTGCTTGTCTCACTTCCACCATTCTAAACATTTCCCAACACATTGACATAACAACCAATAAGCATGTCCAAAAAATTGGAATCACAGGTATTATTGTGGAAGAGGAGATGAGATTATTTGAGATTTTGCATCATGAGGAGGGATTTTTTTTCCTTTGGGCAGGTAAGGATGATGATAGGATAGATCATTTTTGAGCTGAGAGAGTGTGCCTGTAAACCTGGGGATAAAGGTTATTTCAAACTCGGTAATCTGGCATCTAAAAACTTACCCCTTGTAAGTCAATGGTAATAGTATTCCGTTAGCAGCTAATTCCTTTAGCACAAGATAATAAAGAGTCAATATAGTCTCCATGAGAATGATTAGGATCATAGTTATTAGTATCGTACGATACGCGATACGTATCGTACGATATGTCACGATACACTGAAAAATGATACGTATCGTGTCTCTGTATCATTTTTGCACCGTATCGTACAATACACGATACGACACGTACGATACGTGACGATTATTTTTTGTTTGTTTTTTATTTTTGATTTTTTTGGGCTAAAATGACATCTTTTTATCCAAGACTTATTTTTAAATCACTAGCCAGTGAAACAACTTTGGTTCAGTGGTTGTGCTTTAAAAAAATAAAATAAATTTGTTATTAATGCTATTCAATTGAGTTCAAAATTCCTGATTAATATTAAAATTGTTCAAGCAGTTAATGTTAGAAGTTTGAATTAAAGGTCTTTGAATTTTGATATTACTGAACTATGTTGAAAACTTGAACAGTTGATGGAATATTAATGAAATACTATATTATTATGAGTCTATGATATATATATATATATATATATATATATATATATATAT